GAAGTTATTTTTCATTTCTGGGAACAAATCATTTATTTGGATTTTCATATATCAGGATCACAGAGATTTGCCACAGTCAGATTTTAATTTTAGTTACATCTGAGCTGGCTTATATATTAGGGCACATAGTTTTGCATGAGAGCATCTTCTCAAATCTGTAATTGGTGTGGAACACTGACATGCACAGAATACATCTGACAAGGTCCAGAGAGTTAGGTTCAGTTTCGCTGATCAACATCTATGCTGCAGATTAACTGAATCTTTTATGGCATTACAAGCCCTCCAGAATTCATTAGTGTACTTTCCCTTCCCGCTAACCACTCTGACCTCCAGCGCTGCTGTTGCTGCTTCCTTGGTCTGGACCTGAGAGGCTGAAACACTGACTCCTTCCCGCTGCCGCACTAACAACAGAAATGAGACGTGTATCTGAAACTGCTCAGGAGTGTGTATGTTGGCAATTACCATCTTGGCCTCTTTAGCACTGTTTGGGATTTCTATCTCCTTTGTCTGCATCGGGAGAGCTCCATTTAAATTGAAACACGGTCTGTCCCTTAAAAGCAAGAGAACTAGAGTACTATATTGGCGAGTGATTATAATATAATACAAATCGGTATATATAATAAGGTTTGGCATGGATTTTTCTCAGGAACTGGCGCACAGATGCAGCTAGCTGAATAAATCATTGTATTAAAAGCAGGAAGGGGGATAAACACGTGAAAGAAAGCAATGCGAGTTTTTGGGAGGTGGGTGCACAGTACTTTTGAAGACAGCGCTACAATCAATGAAAAGCATATTTCTGAAATGCCATCTTTGCCCTCCTTAAGGGCACACGTATGGGTTGTGAGTCAGCAGCAACCCAGCCTTCTCACACTTCTTGGGCACTGGATGGGGAGCGCAGCTCAGGAACCAGGGAAATAACTTCACTCACTGGTCTGTTGTTTTCTAGACCCAGCTCTCCAAAAGTATCTAGGCAAGTTTGTCATGCTGAGGACAAAGACGAGAAGATTAATGTTTGGCAGTAAGGACAGCAGAGAAGGAGAACAGAGGAACAGTCCAGATGTCCAACTCCCAAAGACAACTCTCATCTGAGAATCAGAAATGGAAAGGTCGCTTCCCTCCAGGCCAGTGGGGACAGAGACTTGCGCCACATCTGCTCTCCTTGTGCTCCTCCCCACCAGCAGCAGCAGCTCTCCTCCCTTGCCACGGGTGCTGGCTGTAGTTGGGTGCTTGCCACAGCCCAGGCACCTCAGAGAGGTGTTGCTGGGCAGCTCTCTCATGATTTTTGTTGTGCTGAAGTCTGTGCATTGAAAGCTTGAACACTGCAACACCTAAATACTCTGCTGATTTGATCCTTCTGCTTGACAGCTGGACCACTGTAAACAATTAGCTGAAGAAAACAGGAGTGGTACCATTACCAAGTGCTTATTTAGTGTCATGTTTATTTCATATCCTCTTTTATTGCATTTTCTCATGTTTCTCTTCTGCTCTTTGAATTGCCTCTCCTATCACTTCTTTCCAGGCTTGCTCTGATGTGTGCTTCTCAGAAACCATCTTTGCCTCCATTACTTTCTCTATGCCTTTGATCCACAAGAACTTCCCCCCTTCTCCTCTTGCAGGCTCTCGTTTTCTGTTTTTTCCTTTCATTCTTACCTTTTCTTTCTCGCTTCATTCCCTTCCTTTCTAAATCATCTCTCTGCCCACTGCTTCCAGCTTCTCCTTTTCCCTCTTCTCCCGCACTACTTAAAAAAAATATGCATGAATCTCTGTTCCTTCCTTTCTCTTCTGAAATAGTGTCATTAATGAAACAGTCCTATTAATTGTGTTACCTTACTGTGGTTGCTGCTGGCTTGCCTATCCCTTCCTCATAACAGATTTGAAGAGGGCTGATCCCCTCTGGTTAGACCAGGCTCTTTCCTTGCGCCCTCAGCCCCCTGCCCTCCCCGGCACAGCTCACACTTGCTATACACACAGGGGTCCAGGACTGCCTTTTTGTTTGCTCAGTGTGCCCACTTGGTTTCCATAGGAAGGTTCTGGTCCACGACAAAGGTTGGTAGGCGTGAATAAATAATACATGTAGTACAGTAACTGGCAGCGATAATGGTTCTACTTCCTGGTAAAACCCCTGCCTTTACCTTGTCCCCTCAGCCTGGCAATACCTCCTGTCCCAGCTCCTCTACTGCTCACTCGTGCCAGCGCTTCCCCTCCAAGAATGGAAACACCCGTAGTTAGAAGGGCCATGCACCACATTTTGAAGAGGGAAGAAACTGCCACAACTAGCATTAAACTCCCCAAAGCACGACTGCATTTAACGGAGCGGTGTCCTTTTCACTTATCTTACCATGGGAGAGAGGAACGGGCAGAGCAGCGTAGGACAGAGGCATTTCACAGGCGCCGGATCGCATCCGTAGGCCTCCGAGGTCAGAGCCTGCCCGCAGGCGCGCAGCTGGGGCTTTTCCTGCTGGAACCCCAGGCCAGGCACCCGCGCTCGGGGGAAGAGTCCGCCTCACTACGTTTTACTGCGTCGCTGCGTTTACAAGCACTGAGTAATGGCACTTGGAGAACAATGAGGCTGTTATGTACGGCCACAAAGTAAAAGAAGTTTACGCATCTACATGATAAAAAAAGTTCCAAAGAATTTAATGTAGATATTATTTATACATACACTTTGTAAGTAGGAATATGGCAGACAGTTGATTAGTACATAAAGTTTTATTTAAAGTTCCCCCCCTACAAGCAAGCTTCATTTACACAGTCTAGTACTGTACAAAATTTACATTCTTTGTGTGACTTAATTCAGTTAGCACTTTCCTTGGTCATGCCTTCCTGAAAGATAGAAAGATTTACATACAGTCCTCATAAATCTTTAAATTATCTCGGTAAAAAAAAGAACCACTTAAAAGGACAACAAATATCCTTTAAAAATGGTACATTTTAGTAGAGACAGGTGACAGTCAGTGTTGAATGGCAGACCTTATCCTGATCTTAAATTCAAAGTTTCCTCATTTAGTATCTTAACAGTTTCCTTTTTATATATATTTATATTTATATACTTTCAACAGGAAAGGAAAAAAAAAAGTCATGATTGCACCAAATATATTTTACAAGGGATCCCTTGGATCTGAATGATATAAATAAATACAAAACCAACTAAGATTGCACTATATAGTAGAAATGGATTGAGATTTTAGGATATACACTCCACCTTTATGAGTTCCTTAGTGATGCTCACTGGAAAACTCCCCAATCGCACATTCAAATATTAGCATCTTCAGATAATTATTTTGTTTAAACAGTATTTTTCCAGGCGTGCAGCTACCTCATCAATTGGGTTATTGCATTTGTATGGTATCAGTCTTTACTGCATTACTCCAATTTTACAACTGTGTAATTCTGCTGCAAGCAAGGGAGTTGCACTGCAATAAAACTGGACTGATGCCAGAGAGAAACAGTCCTGTGGTATTTGCTCTCCATTATTTATATTGCTCTCAAGCATCAATATATAGTGTAATTTCTGTGTACATTCACCCTCTTTCTATTTTGCAAAGCAAGTAATGAATTCTTTCTCCTACCTATTCCCTCTGCAGCGGAAACCAACCTCCAGTAGTTGCCTGCTCCTTGCTTAACACACTAGCATTAAGTCCTGTCGTGAAAGAGATGTGCAGCCTTGAAAAGGCAGGATCTGAGTCTCCTTTGCCTTTTATCTGGTGCAGCCAGTTACAACTAGGCAAATTAAAGCCCAGATTCTTAGCTGACGTAAACCAAAGTACATCCATTGGCTTCAATGGACCAACGTCAGTTTATACCAGCAAAAAGGACGATCCTGAGGGTAATGGATGCAGCACCAGTAAACCACAATGGAAGAGTTACACATATACTTTACTGAGGTGTAGATGATGATGTTAACTGCAAGGTGGTGAAGGATCAGGCTCAGATTTTGTCACTGCTTTTGCAAAGCCAGGACAGAAAGACATAACCTTAAAACACAGACAGTCTGATTTGTGCAAGCAACTATGAGTTCACAAAGTGAGTCCTAAATGCTACTCATCCCATGTGGCAGCATTCTGAACTTGCTTTGCAATGTGTAAATAATTACACAGGCTACAAGGCAGTGGGAAGTCTAGCCTCATATTACTTTGGATCAATAGTAAAAATCTTTCAGAGTATGTTTTAAGATCAACCACACAGAGGTTTTTGAACTCTCTCCAAAATTGTGCACAACCATTTAAGAGTCCAAAGTAACACACTTACAGTTAAATGCAGTCTTCTTTTCTTTGGAAGCAACTAGCACGGATGCTCCTATCTAACAGGCTAGTGAAAAGTAAGTAAGGGTTCTGGTGCTTCGTGAAGTGGTCATAGAAATAACTTACTTTACAAACCCAGAATTTAAGGTGTAGGATCAAATTTCTGTTATACTAATGTAAATACAGTCATTCCACGTGATTTCAGTGACATGACTCTGACTTTACACGAGTATGATTAGAAGAATTTGATCCTAATCCCTAAGCTGCTAATGCAAGAAGTGCTCCGTAAAGCATGGCTTTCATTGTAGTCTGCTTTCCACTGCACTTACACATGGGGACTTTGAAGGCAGAGTGTATTAGTTGCCAAGCTGTGCAAAAACTGAATGGTATTTCTTTACCTTTCATAATCTTCTGATGCTGTGTTGCTTGCAGAGCATGTGAAGTAGCTGTAGGTTAGGATTACAGAGGAGGAGACAATTCTGCAATGCAGCGTGAGCTTTTCACTATCTGAATTCTGAAGCATTCATGAAAACAACATCCTCATGACTTCAACACAGATCACATGCAGGTAGATACAATGCACAATACTGATCTTGTCTCTTCAGGCTGTATTTGAACAGTTAGCCTTCATTTTTTTTAAAAGTTAAATTTGACGTGAGGAATATCTCTGCAGCAGGAAAAAGTTAAAATCAGTCTGAAATGGCAGTCTGTCAGCATGTAATGTTCGGTGTGTTTTAGCTACTTGCTTCATAAGACACCGGCATCTATCTGAGAAGGGACACCACTTGGTTTTTGTTTTCTTTTAGTTTGCTCCCAAAGCATAAATATGGAATAAGGGGTCAATTATGGTAGCTTTGTTTTAACAGGAATCCTGTTCTAATAAAATATTTACGTCACCCGTCATTATTTTCCCAAATGCAATCAGTGTTCGTGTCAGTGCTCCTTGACTATCATTTGTTGTACGGTACGCAGGCTGGCAATATGACAGTTGAACAAGCAGGTCCTGCAAGTGGCTCAGCAACATCTCCTTCTAGTTCTGTCCAAGTCCCTTTCTCAGGACTATAGCAAATAGTAGAAGATTTGTAGGCTCCCTGTAGTAGAACAAAAAGTCATATTAAACGTGGCTTTGGTAAAATCCAAGTCACACATCAGCTTTAAATATGTCTGAAAGTAACTCATAGTTTTGAGCTCTAATTTAGGAGCCCTTCAAGAGTTTGGTTTTCATATGGGTTGAGCACCCAGCCTCTGCAAATCAGGTTCCTTTACAAGTGCCATATAAGCAGAGCTATAAGCATATAGTCCCGTCAATCACTTTTGCCAGATTTCATCTGATTGTTATATTACTCCATATCAGTGAATACAGTCTGGTAATACCTCACCTAAATAGAAAAGCACAAAGGTAAAAAATACTGCATGTTCTTCACAAGTTGAAAACCAAACCAAAACCTGCCCTTGCAGCTACTTCACCCCTCGTCTCCTCTCTGTCCCATCTGAGTAATACACAGACGGGCCGCAAGAACTCAGAAGGAATGGAAGGGTCACTGCAGAAAGCAGGTACCCACCATACTCCAGCTGTAGCCTCCTACAAGGTAAATACTATCGTCAAGGACTGCGCAGCCAGGGCCACTGCGACCCTCCAGAATAGGAGTCTGGAGGATATTCCACTGGTCGCCTTTTGGATCGTAGCATTCCACAAGCATTACGTCAAGATGGGAGAAACCTGGATGAGGGCGTTGAGAAAAGAGAACATGTGTTATGGCATACTGTTTTATTATTGTACTGTTAAATTTATTAAATTACAGTTACAATTATATTATTACAATTATAACATCATTGTTAAACTCTCTTCTAGAAAATACTGCCATATACATTTAAGCTATCTTTTGTACCATTAATGTCTCATTATTTCAGTACCAACAGATCTGTTGAAAGCTTTTACCATTGGTTCTACAGTCTTCTACAAATCACAAGTACATATAAAACCTGAACAGATCAGAAAGTAACATTCAGTAATAACCTATCAATGATGCAAGCAGATTCAAGCAATATTCCTCATCTATCAGTGCTAATGTGAGTTTGAACATGTAGGAGAAGACTGTCCTGGCAGTCTTTGTCAAAGGTCAGCCCATCTGATCTATTCAAAAGTCATCAGATTAAATTTCACTCGGGAATCAACATCTAAGGAGTCAAGGGAGAGCTTAGACAACTGGTGCCACTTGGTTCCAGAGGGATAAGGTGCTTAGCACGACAGAAGTGATGTTCAGGACCAGTTTCAATTTTCAAGCTGATTTCAGGTGTACCCTAAGCACGCAGCTGTGATGTGACGAAGTCTTTAAGGTGACAGAAAATGTAATCAAAAAAAAAAAATGGTAGTCCCATCCTTCCCTGACAGACTGAAAAAGGCTCCATGCGACTGCTGCTTTGTAAGCACCAAAGGGCAGATAGGTCTCTGCTCAAGACTCTCAAGCTGTATCAATCAGTATCAATTAAGCGAGCCGAACATAGACATAGAACCCAGGAGTCCTGGTTCCTGCTCCAGTATTTAGGCATTTTCCTATCTCAAACTACCTTCTTTGATGCAGTAAAATTACAGTTTTCTTAATACGTTGGGATGCTTTAACTGACGCTACTGGTATGACAGAAAAGAGAAGTTAGATTTTCTGGAAAAGTGCATTTGGTGATATTGGTACTTCACAACAATGCTGCTTGTAAGAGTATTATTTATGTCAGGAATGAAGAGCTATGATGAAATAATTTTTTGTTGCTGTAAAGTTTTCAAGGGGCCACAGAAAGGCCACCGCAGTGCCCCCAGAATCTGTCAAAAGCTCTGTAATAAACTGCAGTACGCACATGACTAGCTGTGAAGCGGTAAATGCGCTGCTAACACTACTATACAGATCCAGCGTCACAAAGGAGGGCTTTGCCATGGAGCCCTGCTATTCCCTGCCTTGGTGGAGGATTTTTCATCCCCATTTCAGCCCCCTCCCCCCTCCCTTTCCTTGCGGTTCCTCCTTTTGTTTCACTCTACAGAAGAAACCAGTTTTCCAAAAAGCCCTTCTACCAGCCAGCCAAGGCTTTCCAGAAGCCTGGATGTTAAATAGCTCTCACAACAGCGAGCAATTCATACATAAGAAACGCACCTCAGGCAACAGCTGTAGAGGCAAAAATGCAATGTTCATTAGAAGTTGCTTCTTTCCCAGCGGATGGGAGGTGAAAGTGGGTGCAAAAAAAGGAGAAGGCAGGATGGAAGCAATTCAAGCCTATGCAAACCAAAGCACGTGCTTTGGCTATAGGAGAGCTGTCACATGTTAACTTTTACTTCCACAGGAGAAAAAGCCAACACTGTGGAGCTCTGCAACCTCTCCAAAATTTGCAGGTGCGTATGTGCAGGCAGCTTTTACCCCCTTCACTCTGTAAGGTCCAGTCCAGGAACACCGATCACAGCTTGGGGTGGGGAGTAGAGGCAGAGCAGCCCTGCACCTGGTTGCAGGGGTTTATGCACCTATACTATTTACCAGGGAAAATTTACATCTGAGACTTTCTACCCTACATGCTCCACAGACACTCAGATCTTCAAAAGCAGCATGTGGCTTCAGAGTCTCATGGGGACTGTGGGTGCTGGAGTCATCCAGGCACATGGCCTGGTGTTACTGGCACTTAACATCACTTTTTCTTTTGCATTACAATTTTCTCTTTTGTTGTTGTGAGGCTTTTTTTCTTTTTTTTTTAAGCAAGAAAGGAGAAAGAAGAAAAAATGTGAATATAAACTGTCAGATTGTCACGGGACAAAGGAGCAGGAGCTGTGCTTTTTGTCTAAGTGGCTGGATTAAGCAGAATCTCTTTAGCAGTAATAGCAACAGCATGTAGGTATTAAGGCAAAAATACCAGATGCCTAAGCAGTAGTTATTTTAATATGAGACCTTTTCAAAAGATGAAAACAAGAGACCTCTAAAAAGAATTATAATTAACAAGCTACATTTAATACTGAAAAGGGATCTAAAGACCCTAGTCCTAATATTTACTGGATTAAGCAGAATCTCTTTAGCAGTAATAGCAACAGCATGTAGGTATTAAGGCAAAAATACCAGATGCCTAAGCAGTAGTTATTTTAATATGAGACCTTTTCAAAAGATGAAAACAAGAGACCTCTAAAAAGAATTATAATTAACAAGCTACATTTAATACTGAAAAGGGATCTAAAGACCCTAGTCCTAATATTTAATGGCTGGAGGGTTTCTTTTTTTTCCTTCATTAAATCAGGAGCTTGTTTTTGTGTGTTGCTCTGAATAAAGCTCTCTCTAACTGCACATTTTGGAAAATGATTTACAGAGGAAAATATTGCTGGTACTTTCGGGTCAAAGAATAATCTGTTTGTTTCATCGAATTCTTGGTAATGACAAATTGTCCATGCCTTTGAGTAATGGAAGCTCCCATTTTTATTATCTAAAGCATTCATTACTCATATATTTAATGTACTGTTATAATTTTAAAATAATTTGCATAAAATGTTTTTAAAATTGCTGGCTCAAGTGTCCTGTTAAATTGTGTTGCTTGGTTTTTAATGTATTTAACAATGACTATCTAACAAAAATATTCTTTATCAGGAGATGGGGGACACTGAAATACTTCCTCGCTATTAAAAATGTGACCTTTCAAATGGTTCCCTCCAATTGCATACAGTCGATCATTCATTACAGCCAAAGTGTGGATTGCTCGCTTTGTGTTCATGTCCTGTTTTCGGGCCCAGACGTCCATCACAGGGTCATAGCAGTACAGCCAGGGGACATATTCTCCATTGTGAACACCTCCTGCAAATTAAATATACATCTATTAATTAATGTAAATAAAGACATTTTTGAATTTAGCTCTGTGGTTTTGGGTTCTGGGTGTTTTGGTGGTGGTGGTAGGTTTGGGTTTTTTGTTATATAGTAGAGATTATAAAAGACACTGGCCTGAAATATATATCTTGCCATTGTGAACGGCTCCTGCATGGGCTGCCAAAGGTTGTGGTAACGAAGACACATAACGCCACTCGTTTGTCTCCAGATTGTAGCACTCCACGCTGGACAAGTAGCCAGTTTCGTTTCTTCCACCGATTACATACAAGTTCTTGTCAAGGCGACAGGCGTAGAAACTGGCCCTCCTGGAGGACAGGGCAGAACAAAACAGAACAGGCCAACAACAAACCAATTAGACATTTTTTTTTCCTCTCCTGTTGACTCCCTGAACTAAGATAGCTGCTCCTCCGAATGCTTCTTCAGAGAGAAGTGCCCGGGAGCTTCTCATACCTACAGCTATGCTAGAGACTGTGGCTGCTTTGCTAACCAAATACATGCTCCATATCAAAGAAATACTTCATTTTTGGTGTCAAAACAATTAAGCACACATAAACCTGGCAGAAAATACCCCTTTTCAAAGCTGTTTGTTGCTTTTTCACACCTGTGAGATTAAAAAGTGCTCATTAATGTTTGGGGCATTACCTTGTAAGGGATAGAACAACTCAGTAAGACAAAGTGAAAAATGAGGTAGATAATGTAACAATAATAAATTATCTTGACATTCACTTTCTTTATGGTCCTTCAAGGGTCATTGTTCCCAATTTACTAAGAGAACCACATCATCAAAATTTTTCTTCAATTATCATTTTTTTCTTCTTTCTGCAGTGCTGCAAATAGAACAACTTCCCTTACGCTAGGCACAATATTACATTTCCATCCTTTAACTCGAAAGAGGTCCGTCTCCATCCAACAAACTCTGAGGAAAGTTTTAGCCACCTGTCTCCTTCACATGCAACTCGGGTATGCACGAAAAGAATTAATTTTTCTGGCCAGGACTGCTAGGTATGTATTAGTTTGTCTTCCTCGTGCCTCCAGAATTAACGGTGAGTGTCTGTTGCTGAAGTAAAAATAGAGCAAGAGATGATTTTGAGAGACCCTGTTTGGTGTAATTCACTTTCAGGGAAAGCTCCCTGGATTATTCAGCAGCAGGAAGGTTTGCTAGGGTAGAGGCCTTTAATGAGAAAGAAAATTGCAAAAGAGCACAGCTAGGCTAGGATGAAGACCCGTACAAAATCTTGAATGACAAGAATTGTCAGTCCCAAACCTAAAATTTTCTCCTGGGTGAAACCAGAGTGGCGTGGGAGCCCAGAGACAAGCAAGCAGGTCAGGCATGGCAAGGTCTAGCTCTGACAGTTCCTGCAAAGCAGGCATGCTGGAGTGTGCCTGCAGCTTGCCAAACCCTGCTCCGTGGCTGACACAATGTGCACCAGTTCCTGCCCAGGCACCCGAATTTGAATCTGGGAATAGCTGCATATTGCGCTCCTGAATCACATGGTAAATCTTGGGGGCTTGATGGTCACCTGCACCATCAAGGGTTTGATCCTGCAGACTGCTGCAAAGCATTCGGGATGAGCGGTGATCCACGTACAGAGCACAACACCCTGCAATGAACAGCTCTGGTACATCCCAACTCCTCCCCAGGCTTCCCTACGGTCATCCCATGACCAAGTGAGCTAGCAAAGCCCGGTGTGCCATGTCTCTAACCTGCCATCTAGCCAGGCACACATTCAGGAGCATTTCCTTCAGTGAAGGCAGGAGTAAGATCTCTCTCCTTTACTCAGCTGCCTGTTTTCACAAAATGCGTAGTATGCTTTAACGTTTTAGAGAAATTTCCCTCTTTGTTAAATGTGGCTGAGACTGGCTGGTGGTTTACGGGTTGGAGGAGAGGTCAAACAGACACGAAGATACAGCCATGGAAACAAAAGGGCTGGCTGGGCTTTCAGGGAGCAGATCTGATGCAACGCTGCCTGTTTCTGGCTTTACTTTTTGGATTTGGTGCACGCCTGACAGGGCTCCTCACCAGCCAGGGTCACCGAGCACCTCCTGTCCGCCTCTTTGCTTTCCCCTTGCCTGCACATGGGCAACTTGGATGGTGTGGGACAGCACCCTTTCTTGAGTGGGAACACCTCCAAAGGGATAAGGCTACTGAAAAAGAAGATGCAAATAGGAGGACAGGAATACTGCTAAGTGCCTCCAGCTCAACTGACGAATTAAGTAAGACCATTTAATTTATCTGTCAATGGGCAGACAGAAGCTGACGGCATATATTGCTCTGCATGGTTGGGCAGCAAATTGTGCATCTATGTTTTTAGCCTGATTTTCTATGGAAACAAAGCTTATTTGATTACACTCTACATGTACCCATGTCTCCCTGAGTGTTGTCTCCTCAACAAAAACCTGCTGGCTGATTTCACTCTAATTTGACAGAGGGTATAGGTGTTACAGGCAATCAAGTGCCTGTATGCTTCCTGAGAGTATGTGACAGGCCAGAGGCAAGACAGCCCATAGTGGCCTCAAAAGTAGGAAAAGCTGCAGAGGTCACATCCTATTAGACATCAGAGAACCTGCATGGGCAGAGACCCCTTCTCCAACCCGCCTGTGCCTGGGAGCTGCAAGGCAGAAACCCACAGGGCGTCTGTCCTCGACGCTTGGGATGCTCACGCATCCTCTTGTCTGTCCTCGCGCACCTCCTCTGACAAACCTGTTAATGAACTGCTCTCAGCGTGTTTTTTTTAGTTCAGGTTTAATAAACAGAGGTAGGTACAACTGGCAGGCATTATTCTCTTAACTAGGATTTCACTGACATCATTCTGTACGTGTACTCCTGGTTTCATCCACACAGTGTCACTATAAGGAGCAAAAATGAAAGCGTCAGCATGCTTCACTCTTCTGCTTGTATATGAATATTCACTCAGTAGCTCCTGTCACAAATATTTTAACCTTTTTGGTTTTTTACTTTTCAATGATACGATGTGTAAGGGGCATGCTGTTAAGTGATGACTTTTTAAACTGCTGTAAAATATGATTTAGATTAAAATATAATACAGAAATCTTTGCACGACAACTTTCCCCACAAAACTGGGAAGACACTATCCGTTCTAATCAGGCAACTGGAATGCACCTCAGGATCTGAATATGGACAACAAGAGAATTATTTTGTGGTTTTTTTTCAAAGTACTTGACATTCACTGGTCTCTGAAATGCTTTTCCTTCACACCCCTTGACTCAATAATCAACCCAACTAACTACTTCTTGTAAGTACACACACATAAAAGGGAAGAATTTCATTCTGTTTCTACAGATGATGAATTTATGCCCTGAAACAAGAAATACAACTATGAGTCTGAGGTTTAAAACTACCAATGCTGTTACTGATCATCGCAATATCTGGACCTGATTTCAGAGTCACTTTTAGAGTGTATGCTTTACTCTTTAAAGTCATCCTAATAAGGGTTAACACTACTATTATTAAAGTCAAAGGCTAAAGTCAAATGTGAAAATGTTTTTCTCTCTTTTTCTGCGGCTTTTCTCAGTTCACTTGGCCTCAGTCAGGACACTGACCTGCTCACTTCCACTTGTGCTTCTTCAGGCCCTGCTACAATGCCATGTTTTTTGCTGGTCTTTAAACAAAAACTTTTAACTCGGAATGTAAGAAAAAAGAAGATGTTTTAAATGTTATTATGTTCCACACACTTTGTTCAGCTCTGGGCTGAGCTGACAAGATGTAACAGTACTGACTAAGGTGTCCAACTGATGCTCATGCCACAAGTTCAGATAGATCTGCTACAAAGACTGCTCCTTCAGTAGGCATGTTAGTTTAACTGAACTGCTCTCCAAAAAGCACCCCGTTGTTATTGCATCATCAGGCAGATGTGTATTTCAAAAGCTTATGAGTCATTTGCTGCTTCTCTAAACAACGCACACTTAAAAATAGTACATACTTTTCAAAAGCATGTATTTTTGAGATGTTCTTCAAATGAAGAGAAACCAAACTTGGCTTTAAAGAAAATACACTGATGGCTCTGAATCCATAACAGGATTAGGCTTTTCTTTATAGCTCATACAGTGAAATCAATCAGATATGGATTTTAGCATATGAGATAAAAGTTTACTTATCAAATATTTCACACAGATTTTCAACCTGAGAATATACTGCCTGTGAATGGGACCCACATTTGCCTGGCAGTCATTTCAAAGGAGCTATTATAGGTTATCCAGCCAATTATTTTCAGACTAAAATTCCTAAGTAGATTTTGACTTGAGGGACCATAATGACTCAGAAAAACCCATTAAACAGTCCGTCTTGTCAACTGTGCCTGCATTACAACAGCAGAGACAGGGTGTGACCCTGTACTCCTGGGGCGGAGGGAGGGGAATAAATGGGAACTTTACCTGACTAAAGGAGTTGGGAAAGGAAAATGCATGAAAGCTCTCTTGTTTGCATGATCTTCTAAAAACTGAGCCAGGCCCTACCTCTAAAGGCTGCAACAACTCTGAGGAAGTCATTAGGGATGAGCAAATAAACCATTAAAAACATTTTAGAAAGTGATTTGAAAATCCCTGTTTTCCAACAATAGTCCCAATGCTTAGGAGCCTTTAAAGAAAAATAATGGGCAAGCCTATGAGTTATGTAACCTGAACAAGAGAGGGGACAATTAACGTTGTCATAGTAAAGCCCCCTGCAGAAGGAGCTATGTATAAGTGGACCATTACATTTAAATAACACTGTAAGGAGCTGAGATGTTAATACATTGCAGTTTATTACCAGGCAGCTGCTAGGCAATCACAACGTTCAGCAGAGTTTCTGACTCCTGGCTGAAGGCTGCAGCTTCCACCAGAGCACAAGGCAAGGCCTGTTCCACACCTGCGATTACAAACTCATTTTTTAGTGCAACACAACTGGCCACTGTGGAGATGGGAAAACTCCTACTGCCTGCTTTCTCCAACCCTCAACTACCTCCTTCTGCCTTCCGAGCTTTGTCGGCCAAATAAACCCAACTGTTTAGCCAACCGCACATGCCTCTCAGGAGTTTTGCTTGCAGATACCCAGAGGGCCTAATTAGGACACAGATTAGGCTCCACAGAAGAGCTCCAGGCTCCGTACAAACACTGTCAGCCTCCCGGTTTGCTGGGGATGACCTGCACGGCGATGCACAATGTCTTGCACACCTTCTGTCTCCCACCTGAGCCAGCGGTGACGCAGTCTGGGGAGCTGAACCAGAGGGGAAGGCGTCCCTCTCTTTTAAGGTAAATAACTCACTTGTGGGGTTGTCCCACAGTGCTGGCTGGAGTGAAGGAGAAGGCTGGGGGCTGCCAAAGCAGGGCCACCTCTTTAGCTAAAGCTTGCTGTTGGACTAGCTCTATTAAAAATTAAAAAAAGAAAAAGGGATTTTAGTAAAGGATTTTTAAAGTAAAGGATGATGTTATTAATAAAGCCAGAGACTATAATGAACCGTGATGCTCTTTTTTATCTCTATTTATATGGCTAATTTTATCAGTTCACTGAGCTCCAACAGGGAATGTACTCAGATCTGTTCCACTCGTGCTTTTTCATGCACTGGTACAATGCAGTATTTTTCGGTGACAAGCATCACACATGGGTTTGCACATGGACTTAGGTCAATCGAACTGAATCCTGAAGAAAGGCCCTTCAAAAACTCTACAGACTGACATTTTACCTCTGGAAATCTGAAAAGACAGCCATATTTCCATGCATCTTGTAATACACACCTTGAAGTGCAAGGTTGCACTGAGTTCAATATATTTATGACTGCCAGACACCTGAACACTGTGGAGAGCCAACAAAAAAAGAGCTACAATACTGACAGCACATGGAATAAGGAAAGTGACTTAGGAAGACACTGTGAGATCTCTTGTACATTGGATCCGTCAAAAGATGGGTGTTGAACTAAAGGATGGACATGGAATGCTTTTTCATAAAACACTGACTCTGGATGTTGTGCCTTTGAGATTCTTCTTACGAAACATGCATCATTCAGTTCACATTTGGGGGACTTTTTTCCTGCCAGGGTAGGATTTGGGATCAAGAGTTAAGTTTATGCCATCTCTATGGGTCACTGCTCAAGTCCGCATGCACCTCTGCTCTTTGGTGCACAGTAAGATTAAAATGTGTGCTACTCTAATATGCATCAGCTGACAGCAACTTCACTCAAAGACCTCCTAGGATTAAAAGCCTTCTGACAAGCAGAGATATGTTCAGGAGAGCTTTTCATTGCTGGTGTGGTGAAACAGGATGGAGTCAACATGTGAAGTTTTCAGTTCCCTATAAGATATCTGACTATAATTACTGCTTGTTTACTGCAAATTCATCACGACACTTCAGTCAGGGAACATGACAGGACACTATGGAGACTTCAGAAGAATCCTTCAGACCGTACTCAGGCAACCAGTAACTGCACAAAGTACATGGTTATTTTGCATGAGTTAGCACTGCAGGATTTGGCATCTGGAGTTTTGAATTTGGAAAGTTTAAAAAAATTAGGAGACAAATGGGACGCAACTGCATGCTGCAGTTTTATCTCATTATTTTCAATGCTTCCGTAGGCCTCCTTACTCCCAGAACTAAGTCAAACTTGAGCTGCTCCTAGCATGATAAAACATATATTGAAAAACATGTAGCAGGTTTTTACCTCTCTTGCATGGGTGGAAGTTGTATCCAGCTGTTAAACCTGGGATCGTATCGGCTAACAAAGTTTGTACTGTGTTTCCCTGTAAAGACAGATTATTTTGACACTCAGCTGTTTTGTTTCATGTATTTAACATCATGATTGTAATATATATTACATATACTTCACAAGTTGACAGCTTTTATGAAGGGTTCCCCCTTTTACAACAATGTATGATTACACTATGTGTACAGTAATAATTCAACAAATGGGGCACTGCAAGGTTTGAATTAGCAATTGCTAGCAGTAAAAGCAGATAAAGATTATTCTTGCTCTCTATAATAAGATCTTGAAAACGTGTATTTAAATTTACTTATAGATGGTGTGGTATTTTCACAGCCACAATAAATCACAGCACTAACAAAATTACTGCCCAAAAGAGAGTATACCCATGGTATTTTTATGACTAGAGTATTTTGTGTCAGGTAAAGCAATCAAAGGGAGAACACGTGCTTTTCTTTCTCCTCACATCATCTCTATGTGGAACATGGTAAAAAAACCTTGTGCAAATAACCAGGAGCTGTCTAAGCCATCAGCATGGGCTATGCAGTGTTTGCACTAGATGGTTTATTCTACCATGTACTTTCAGCGTAAGTTAGAAGGAATTACACATGTGCATCGAAGGGGAATTACACTCTTAGAGTTTTATTCCAAGTGTGTTAGCTAAAATATGAAACATGAGCAACGTACACCGCTTAACTAGCTTATCCCTGCTGTCAAGCCCAAAACCTGTATTCATATCTTCACGATATTAAGATTTCACCTTATTTTACATGCAGATTGACATCAAAGCAAGAAAACTGAATCAAGGGAGTGTATGGCAATTTCCTGTAACACCTGAGACTTCAACAGATGAGGATCTCAGAAACAGAAACCTTTGTTTATGTACGTGTGACTAAAAAATTGAATTAGAGGCTTCACAGGCCAGCAGAATAACCCAACTGTGTATGTCACAGTTCTATAAATGGTCACTGGGTATTCTACAAGATAAATATTTTTGCATTGGACAAGCCTCTGTAGGATTGGCTCGCTTTGCTTGTTTCATTCCACACTTACTTCAGCATGTGTAAATAGACCATCAAGATTGTAGAGAAGAATAACAATACAGCTAGAATTTATATTCATAATAATTTAAGATCATGTTCTACAAGAAAACAGAGAAAGAAACCATGTTGACCACTCTGTCTGGAAGCCAACTCATTCTCTCGCTATGTTATAAGCGTGTTCTATATGAGGAGGGTAAAGCAGAGGACTGATGAATAATGCAGCATTTCTCTTCAAATCCAGCGTGGTGCCTAATGAGGACCAAAGCCCTTTATGCTGAGCACCACCCAAACACATCTCAAGACATGGGGTGAGATCCCCATACACTAAGGGCAACTGGTCATTTTGCCACTGGGTTTAGTGAAGTGAGGCTTTGCTCTTGGTCCCTGTCTGAATTCCTTTACCCTATACAGACAATTTAGAAAAAGAGGTATTGAGAGACAGAGATTCAATAAACAGTAAACCAGTAACAGCAGGCATCCAACTGGCTCTAGGTCTCACTATTTAGGACATTTATTAATCAACTTCCATTTAAAAAAACAGGATTTCAAAACAATATAAATATTGATCAGAAGTTTGGACTTCTGGTCGGAGGTTGCAATGCTGCCGTATCCACTGCATCTTTCAGAGTTACTGGGGACTTCAGTGGTCACTGGTTATATAGCAGCTTTTTAATTGGTGTCATACAAACCTATGACTTGGGGACCTTGGCCTCCTAACACAACATGCGTCATACACATATTCACTACAAATACCACATATGTAGAAGATTGTATAGCGCAGGGTAGAAAAAGAAGGGTTTAGTGAACCTAAAGTGGGAATACAGGATACAAATCACTGGTCACTTCACAGGAAGGGAGATGAAATTGAACTAGAATAGGCACAAAGAGCTACTATGGCAACACGAGGAACAGAAAGTTTACCTTATGGCAGGAGACAAAGAATTTGGCTTGTTACACCTAGGAAAACAAAAGCTGAAAGGGGATAGAGGCAATCTCTGTAATACATCAGAGGAACAAATCTCCAGGAGGGGAAAAACTATTAAGTTAAAGGCCAACTTTGCCATGAGAACAAGATGATTTAGACAGTCAAAGAATATATTTGACTGGAAATTAGAATAAGGCTTCTAGTCATTTAGAGCAATTGGATTCTGTAACAGCTTTCCAACAGGAGCAGTGAGGGCTAAAAATACAACAGCTTTTCGAATATAGCTTAGAAAATTTACAAAATGGGACTATATGATGCCTGTGATGGCAGGAAAAGGACTTGATGACCTACTTAAGCTGTCTGGTGTAACTGGTTTGACTCATGTTTAATTTTGGACTTCAGTTTAAAAGAGAACTGTATCTATTATTTTGCCTTGCTCTTCAGTCAGGAGGTTACACGTTAGGAAGCATCTGTCAGAACACAGAAACTGTAACAAATGATCAGAAATCAGGACAATGGGACGAAAAGAGGCAGATGCTGCTCACTGCTCTCTACAGGAAGGTCTCTGCAGCCATGCCAAAAGGTGAAGGGCTCTGAAAGTTATGAAGGTTGCTCTTAAATCCATGCCTGTGTTCTGCACCCTGCTTTCATCAGCGTTTATTCGTGCGGGGATCCCTTGTGACTGGAAAGGCATAGCCGTAGGATGTAAAAAAGTGAGAAAAAATGTCTGTGATGCTCTCTGGGTTGTCAGAGAGTCACAGGAGGGGGCATGGCTGCTCCTCGGGGCCCACCCAGCTTCTCAAGAATCTGCCAGTCTGATGGCTAAAGAAATGTATGGTGCTCCTTCTGTTGCCTCCACCTCAAGGATAATTCCTTCCACTGGAAAAACACCTGGCACATTCTCATTCAGATCAAAAGCCTTGTAATGCTGTGACAAGACAGTTCCAGCCAGGTCCATCTGAAGCCTCTTCTGTGCTATGAGGATAGCAGACAAGGGCCTTCACGTAAATTCAAGCAGGGACGTGCAAGCAGTTTCTATGCAGCTGCACATTTAGAACAAATCGGTTCCAAGACAGAACTAGCCTAGCAATAGCACAGGATGTAGTTTATGATTTCAGGTCCACTTTTTGTGACAAGTAAGATCCATTTCTCTTGGGGAGAGAAATTCGTAAAGAGATCAGTAGCAGCAATGCTCCTAGCTCTTTTATTCCTATCTTCTCTACAGAAAAATCACAGCATTGGTATTCACAGAACAAGGAAGCTATTAGACATCTTCAGCAACATCTTCAGCTCAGGATTTGATCTAGGTGACCTCAGACCTAAGGTACTATCCATCTCATGAACAGTTGTGCTTGACTACTAACTCACATGCAGGATATGTACCCCTTCTAACATCTCTCCATCACCTTGTGACTCAGTTTCCACATCTTTAAATTGTGGGTAATGATACTTCTTTTCTTTTATCCTTCATGTGACATGGCCATTTAATTATAAACTGTCTGGAACAAGGTCTGCCTCTTATTACCTGTATGCCTACCACCAAGCACAACAAGGGCCCTCAGTTGTTGCATGTGGCTGATAGTCCTAATAATAATTATTATTAATGATACCACGCTATCTCCTGTTTAATATAAAGGAGATTCAACAATAGAACTAAAGGGCTTTTCTCCTAAGACATTTAGTGATATTTTTAACTAAACCGGAAATATGCTTATAGGGTGGACTGGATTGTTTGTCTCAGGTTTTAGGAAGTGAACAGATGTAACAATTTTCTATAATTTGGTTTAGTGCAGATGCTGAAATGGGGCATTCACAATAAAATATATGCAGTATATGTAATTTCAGCTGGATCCTCTGGTGTTTTAAAGTAAAAATGTGTACCTGCAAGCTGTTTTATGGTTTCTCAGTCATAATTATCTCTGTTACACAGACTGCTACAACTACAACTCTTTCTTCATGTGCAAGCTTTTTAACAATGTCTTGACAATTTTGTGAATTTTGCAAGGCATGGTATTCTCCTTTTGCTTTGCTCAGAAGCCTGTTAAATTGTTTAATTTCTCTTTGCGGTAAATTTATGAAGTAATCAAATCAAAGAAGGTAGCAGCAGATAATCTATACGAAAAGCTCTTGCACAAGACTAAAAAAAGGACCAGTTTAAGAATCTGAGAGTCTAGATAATTAACACATTAACAACTTTAGCTGCGAGTATCTTGTTTGACAATAGAAAAGAAGCATTCATCTACTGCAATTGCATTATTATATTATGACTGGAAGGAGACTGGAAATGAAGGTTAAAATTCTTAACAGCTGCTGCCTGGTGCATGCACTTGAAAGAGTCTGTTCTGCTGCCTGTGGCATTTCTCAAGGGATGTGGGAGCTGATGAATGACGGAGATGCTAATGCTAAAGTACCAGATATTTATTACATCAGTATCTAAAAGTAGCCTTTACTAGGTTCAACAATTAGGCTGAGGGTCCTCAAAACCCCTTGCTAATGACTACATCTGCTGACCTGATGGACAGACAGACACAGGAAGGCAGATGCTGCCTGTGCCTTTTAAAATTCTGTACATACCATTAGGGTTCCATTGGTCTTCTCCTCCCAGCACAAACAAGAAGTTTTCCACTTCCACGACACAGTGATGGGCACTGTTATATGGCATAACTGCAAGTAAAGCAAGAATTCTTTGTCACCTCAGGGCAGTGATTCCATCAAGTATTTCCAAAGGTACAAAATACCACACTGAGATTACATCTGTATCAAATAATAGGGGAATGCATCACCCCAAGCACGTATGTCCACTGACCTAGCAGCAGACAATGCCGCTTGTTAGTAATCTTACACTATTCAATCTGGCAAATAATTATGGAAAAAAGCTGGAATTCTGGTCCCTCAGTGCACCTCCACCTGCCCAAGTGCTGTATATGCTGCTCTAAAACTACTTGTAAAAAGGGGTGAAGTTGCCTGGTATTTCCCTAAAAATAAGCAGATGCGAGGAATCCTAGTATGCTAGGAAACATTAAAAAAACCTCAGCCCAGCTTTGTTCTGCTGGTAATGTTTCCACAAGAACAGTCAGTATGTTCAGTAGCTTTCTATTACACAGCAATGAACAAGCTGCATTTCCATACAGTTTTAAGTTTTTAAATTAAGGTCCTGCTGATTTAATGCCTTTTCCAAATGTATACGCTTAATTTCCTGTACAATGTCATTAGCAGCACAATCACACATTTTCTATTCATCTAATCAGGAAGCCCTTTGTTAACAAAGATCAAAACTGTGGCATTAGGTTTGCAATATCCCTTTTTTTCTGGAGGTGTCGCAATTACTATGGACCAACTACAGTCGCAATAATCTATTTTTTTTAATTTGCATTGTCCACTGAAAATGCTAAGACATAAAAATAAGGACTTAGATATACATAATATACACATATTATTGCGGTGTGCCATTGAGCACTATTGTGATATTATATGGTAAATGTAAACTTACACAGCATTAGTTATCATACCACATAGAGTAGTTTTGGCCCAGCGACACCAGTAGGAAAAATGATGTCCTTGTTCAGCTCATCATATGGGCACCTTAAATCTAGGTGAGGACAAATGGGGAGGTGATGTGCATGTACAGGCAGGGAACTTATTGCTTGACACGGATCAACAGAGCACTTAGGAAACCAGTGCAGTGGGAAATCAATATGACTCAGGGCCAGCTCTTACTTTGTGCTCTTTTGCCAATGCCAAAAAAAAAAAAAAAAAAAAGAAAGAGGCAGCCTATCTCACACTTGGATTATTTTGGGTGATATATCTCTCATTTCATTTGTTTTATTATCTTTTATTTTTCTCAGAATGCAGTTGTGCAGTATAGCATATGCAAATAATAATAAGAAGAAATACGCACAGCTTTGTTATTTAGGACACATTTTCTTAAAGATCAAGTGGGCTCATTTAAGCTTCTTACTGAAGTTTTTGCCAAAGCAATGATGAATAAGTAAGGTATGTTTTTAGTTTCTAGTAAAGGTCGAATATCATTTTCATAGTCTGTGCTCTTACAAGTCCTGTAAGTGAAGCAGTTCTTAAATTGGGCAGCCAGGTACAGTGAAAGTTCGTTAATTAAGGTTATTTGTTACTAGTACAGTTTATATAACTGGGAAGTAATCCTATACTAGGCACTGCATAACATTTCATGCTATCTAGAGATTCCCACAGTGGGATGAAAGAATGAAAAAGATTTTTGTTATCTCCTTAGCCCCCATATCATATTTATCTCATTCTTTAATCTCAGACATTTTCCTGGTTTAAAATCTTCTCTCTCAACCCCCCAGCACTTTCCTTGATTTTGTGGATGCTTGTACTGCATAATGAATTTGGTTCTCCCATGGGAAATTTACTGTCTTCCTTAGATGCTTCTTGGGACCCCTCCTCTCAAGAAGAGACTCCCCAGGATCAGTCTGCAGGGGCTTCAATTCTTCCCTAATCCATGCTCTGTTATGGTTTCGAGTTAGGTCCAAGCCAGTGGTTGTATCCTCAACCAGGCTCTTCTGTTGGTCAATCTGGAGAGATCTAGCATTTATCAAAAGAACTGTCTGCAGGCAGCACACATGCATATTTTTCATGTTGTGTTTTCATTTTTGCAAACACTTTTGTTTATTTATCCTCCATGTTGACACAAACAGGGCCAGTAGAGGAAGAAATTATATTTTAAGCTTTTCCGCTGTTCCCATGCATATAAACTATGCAATAAGACTCCCACACTTATGATGATAATTAAACCTTGAAAACTAAAGGCTTAATCCTGGCTCCTACTTAACTTGATGGCAACATTCCCACTGATACGGGATTGGGCCCAAATGACCCGAACTACCATCCGTAACTCACAGGAAAGCTAAAGGGAAGCTTGCCTTAGAAAGGAGGGTAGTATTTGGGCTTCAGAAGGAAAGGTGACTGCAATAAAACACTGCAGACCTTTACTATGACCTTTGTTTCTCACAGAGCTTTGGGGAAAACTCTGTTCTTGGTCTCATGAATCTGCCCATGGGGCTGGAGGGGACTGGACAAAATGGAGGACGGAGCAACACTGTGGACATCGAAGAGGGAGGGAGTTTTGGCATTGAAATTGTGAAATCACCAACATCACAATCTTTCTCCCTGACCATTTTCAGGGTCGCTCAGAATCATGAGTTATACACAGAAATAAAAACTATGGGAATGAAGAATTTTTTTTACCGCTATAAAATGCCCCTTGGAAGCACCAGAAAACTTGTGCTGTAAACCATAATCCCTTATGAACACAGCCCCATATAGGACCTAACTTTTCATAGAAACAGCCAAAATTACATGGCAATGAGCATGCTAAATTCAGCATCTAGTAGGAACTATCTTCTTAAACTCACTGGGTTTGTCAGGGTGTAACAGGAAGAATTTGGTCCATCACACAGTCTGGCCAGGCTGCTGCTTTCATTAATTTTATATGAACCTTTGTCTGCTGTTTTGCTTTAATAATGTGAAAATCCCATCTTCTCATTTTTCGATTTCAACTCAGAGGAACACCTGCCTGCCCCGCAAAAAGGGTATTTGAAGAGAAGTTTGTACGCCACGCTCAAACACAGCCCGGTGTGAGTTTTTAGCGTGTCAGTCAGTGAGTTAGAGGGAAAGGGTAAGGGGAAGCTAATCAGGATGAAATGAGATTAAAGGCTGTCTAATTTTACAGCAACTGTGATCCATCAGCCACTGTGAAAGTGACAGTGGAAATGAATGATGGAGACAGACAGGTGGGGCTGTACATTTCACTGATTTATCCTCAAATGCACTGGGCCTTATTTTATTGAGTGAACATGACCGCATTTATCATGACTGTCATCTAAACCCACTTCCCTCCATTTAAAAAGGTCACTTTACTAGGAGGGAGTAGGATAGAGGCACTTTCAAAACAGATTTAAAATTTAATAACACATGTTTATAAAACCCTGTGCAAGAATTCTCAACTTTATTAAAGACCGATTTAAAAGGAAGGGGAAAAGACTATTAAAAAGAGGAGAAGATGAAAAAAAGCCATGGTCATCTGAGAAACATGCTTAGCTGCCAAGGTGATAGGTGCCTAGGAGTTAAGTGAGATGGACAGATAAAACAGATCAGTCGGCATGGGCAGAAACCACCTTTTCTAAGCCCCTGCCCCTCACACACACTTCCCAAATCTCGGGAGGCCCATGGTTAACAAACTTGTGCTTTCCAGGACTGAGGGCACAAACGCGTCCAAGCAGCCCTGCAGAAGACAGCACCCACACCAGTCCCCTTCCCACGCAATTTATGTGTGATGGGTAGCAGACCCTCAGTAAGGTGGGAGGCAATTTCTCAGGTACAGATATGTAACACGCAGAGCTTTCCAGGTCAAAACCGAATGGGTGATTTATACTTGAGAATGATCTGGAAGGCAGTGGAGTCCAAGATTGCACTGGTGTTTGCTAAGAAATACTTCTCTACATGAACATCAGTGACATTGTACAGGAGGTGACACTCGTGGACACTCTTCAGACACAGATGCAGGTAGAAGACACAGCAGCACTCTGCACATCAGGATAGCTGTCCCAGGCAAAAACTCCTCACATATGCCAAACCTTAGTTAATGAACAGCACCAGATAATGTTCTGGGACTTACTTTCAAAAACAGTCTACAGCTTATAGCCAAATGTTCATGAAACCAAACATTCTCAACCATAATGCCTAAGAGGTCAGCCAGATGCAACGATGCTCCAAAGGCACCTCCAACTTTTGTATAGGGGTGACAGCGACACACCTCACTCACCTAACAAAAATAATGGGTGCTGTTCGTCTTACCCAGTGTTGCTTAGCTTCTGCCAACAACTGCACATTTAAGAAACAGCATCTGGTTGTTCTCCATATGTTAGTCAAGGGGTCATCAGTTCCTCATTCTCCTTACACCTTCCCCGCCTATCGTCACTTCAACACTAACTAGCAGGGAAGAAGGGGGAACAGGAATGGCATTTCTCAAGACAGGAGGAGGGATGAGCTCTGCTCCCAGGAGATCTGAAAGCTGTGATACAGCCCATAGCCATTCCCCTGCTCTACTAAAAACTCCTTTCAGAAACTGCACATGATTCTTCCATAGATCCATAAATCCACAGATTTTTCACCGCCCTGAACTGTTCAACTGCTTGGGATACAGGAGGTACTGTGAGGAAAGCCAAGAAAGCCAAGAAATCCCTTCCTCAGCTACTGCACAGCTTGAGCATAGCCCCTTCAAGACTCAGTACGCACCAAGAAGTCATGCTTATCATCTCTAACGACCTATGCAGATGACGCAAGAGAAGAGTGTGTTTCCAGAACCAGGATGTCATTACCAGAGGACATATGGAGTCAAAAATGACCTTCCACAATATCAACAGCCTAACCTGTTGGCTACGTAATATTCAACTACTGCTACTTGAAAAGTGGTTATTTCCACAGCTCTCCAGAGAGCAGAGTGCCATGAGGAGATGCCTCTTTCCAGTACAGAAGGCACCTACAAACTCACTTTAGGAGACTGTGATTTGCTCATGGCAGAGACACAATATTAATTTCATTCCCAACCCTCTCCGCAAAATGCTGGCCAGACCACAGCCGGTACAATTATTTCCTGAGAAGAGAATATCAGATACTGTTCACCTTTC